TTATTATAAATAAAATCGAGTCTTATAATAAATAATAAGAATCAATTAGTAACTCCGGAAAGCCGAGCGCGATTTAACCAAAAAGCTGAAGACAAAAATGGCAAGCAACTTTCGATAAATGAGAGTTCTTACTCCATGTGAATCAAACCACGACACCACTACTTCATCATCTTCATCATGATTATACCATATCTTTATTATGATTTTTAGTTTATATTTGTGCCCTTATACCAATGTGTCTGTTTCCAATATTATGTTTATAAGTATATTTGATTCAGTTCCAACTGCTAAAACTAAATCCAAGTATCTGTATTCAACTTATGACTTGTTTGTTCTATAAATACATCCAAATATGAATAAAAAAAAATCCATTTCAGTCAACTCGTCCGCCTTTGCGTTGCGAAATGACTGCCCTGGTTTTGCACTACGCCCATTTAGTTGTGGCAGCATGGATATTTGTCTACTGCCACGCAATTTCAGACCATGTCACTGGGAACGATTCTGCCTTCAATATGAGATACAACTGTTTGATGGCTTACGGAGCTCCTGCAGTATTCGTTCTGGTAAGAATTAGAAGATAACTAGTTGTAAGTGGCATTTTAGTCAAGTTTTATGAACTTTCCATTACTCGGGACTTAAACAAATTTATCAACTGTTTATTTCGAAACTAAGGTTGCGCGTGCACTAAAAACTAGTCAATTCCACGAACTTCTCTTACCTATAATGCCTGTAAGTAATCGCATTATGTTTAATTACTTATGACCGTAAGAATGTATTTATTATATAAGTGTGGTCGTCAACAGTAATAGCATCAATCAAACGTTTGTCGTAGTCCTATAATGTTTTAGTACGTCAGGTAGTTAGTTCAACATAAAAACCATCGTCTCACAAAGTTTCATCAAAATCATCAAAAAAAAATTCAACGATTTGTTACGAAAAATTACGATTCCCAACTGATATTTTGAAGATGGTTTTTAAGTTTTCAAAATTAAAGATTATTGGGAAAACGTTGATTTTTTTTTATTCTAAAGAAAAGGCTCGGCCGATCGTTTTGCAGAACTAAGGACCGCTAGTCTTCATCGAGTTTTATCAAATAGTTAGAGAAAACGGCAACAAAACTTCAAAATTTCATACACACACTCAGAGGGCCGGTCCTACCTTGAATGCGATGCATGCGAAAAATGCGGGCGCACGCCTTAGGGGGCGCCAAAATGAAATTCGGATATGAAATTTATAATATAGTTTTTTCCAATATCATTCAAGAAATAAATAATTTCTACTAATCTTTGGACATTGTTGAAATACGTCAAAAAATTCAACAATCGGACACACGATGGGAAAGTAAAGATGAAAACATACAATTCGGCCCTTACGATATCAATTCGAAGTTTGCAATGAAGTTTTAGATATTTTAAATAATAAAAATTTAAATTAAAATAATCCAACTTAAAATAAAAATTCTTTAAAATTTTGGAGTGAAAATAATAATTTAAAAATAGTTTGGTAGTGCGACAGCGAAAGAAGGCACAACAATTTGAATTTGAGCAACCAGCGAATCGTCTCGAACTTCTGAATAAATTTAAAAACAATTAAATAGTTTCTTATGCGATTTTATAGATAATAACATGTTAGATGATAACATTTTTTATGTTTTAAATCCAGAATTATTAAAAAGTATTTTGAAAAATTAACGTAATTGTTAGAAGTGTTAAAATAATAAAGGAGGGGGCGCTAGAAAAAAGAATGGCATGCGGGCGCTGAAGACCATGATCCGGCCCTGCACACACACACGTTCATACTTTTTCTGAACTTAAATTCGTCGATTTTGTTTCGAGAAAACTTAAAATTTTCGAGAATACAATCGGTGCATTGAAATATAATGAGGACCAAGCTTCGTGCCCATAACTTTTTGCGCTTGTATTGATAAATGACATCCGATATTTTAAAAATTAAACCATCTTTTAGGAAAAAAATAAAAAATGATAATAATTATATTACGTATGATGTATGTGTGCGAAAAAAACTTTGCGAACTAAACATAGCCAAATTTTGATAAAGTTGCACACAAAAAATTATTGTATTAGGTGCGAAAAAAACCTACAATTTTTGACAAAGCAAACCCTATATAACACTATTTAATATAATGGGTATTTATTAACCAGTCGTAAGAGTGCTTTAAAATTGAATATTTACTTTTTCACTTGCATATATCGCAATAACATAATTTTGTTAAAATATAACAAAGTAACTTCAGAATTCAGAGAGAGGAAAAAAAACTGTTTTCCGAGATTTCCTTGCAAATCCTTGTTCAAACGCCAAAATTGAGTAGAAGAAAGGTTTGGAATGAAATTACAAATATATTTCCTATTCTATAATTTGCCAAGTTTATTTTTGAATTCAATAAAAATTTTAACTAGATTAATAATAAATAAGTACTCTTATATTATACAAAGATATCCTCAATAATATTAAACAAATGCAATTGTGATGTGTTTCTTCGAGTAATGAGTTTATTATATCTAACATCAAGTAAACATTTCTATAATAAAGATAAATACATTATAAATACGTTCATACAAATAAATTTTTATATGTAAATAATTTTTTATAGTTCGCATATGCTGTGACACCAGACAGTTACGAATCAAAGAACTACTGTTGGATGTCCGCTCAGAAAGGAATGTTTTTGAACTACATGCTTCCTGTAACTTCGTTGATTATAGTAAACACTGTTTTTGCAACATTTGCTTTAAAATCTGTGAACCAAAAAATTCAAAATGCCTTAACTGTCAGTATAGAAAGCATTCTGGATCCTGCCAATGTACCAAAGATTATAACTTCAGAACTGAATTTGGATGAGGAGTTATTATTCGAAGCCTCTGAATGGAGAAGTGATTTCAAAAATAAAAATTTAATGAAAAGTAATTTAAATAAACCACTGGATATCCTAGATAGCGATCAATATCAAAAAACCTTAGACAGTTTAGAGAAAACCAAAACTACAGATCAGAAAAACCTGAACATATACGTAGACATAGAAAATGCTAAATATTCTGCCGATAACCCAAACATTTTTTATGAAATTGGTACAAGTAAAGATTATGAATACCAAACAGTTGTAGAACATCCTAAAGATACGGAAAAGGTTCCGTACTATGACTGCTGTGACCACCACCACCGTTCAAATAATGATAGACTTGGTGATTTAGCAAGTGTTTCCTTAGGCGATTTTTCGCTGCAAAGTAGCGATTTTCCAGAACTTAGTGACTTTAGAAAATGTCTAAGATTTGCAATATTTTTGCAACCTGCTTATGATGTTTGCTGGTTTCTGGGTGTGGTAGCTGTAGAGAATGCTACCAGCTCCAATGTTATGCCTGTGGTCTTCATTGTATGCTTCAATATTTTGGTAAGTTAAATATGTTTACTATTCTTCAATCTGAAGATTATACCAAAGTCTTTCAGATTTTACTAAATTATAGCATTATAGCGTCCCAAATATTCAAAGCAAGTGTGACCAAAAATGTATATCATAATGTGTGAAATTATAGACAAACGGCATTATCATTGTGTTACTAACTCAAACAAATATACTAAATAACTCTAATTTTAATCTTCACATAATAATTTTCCACACATATACTAAATCTCATGTAACTCTATATAAATCCCACACACCTGGGCTTTGTATCAAACAGTAGTGATATAAGATTTTCACTTGAGGTTGTAGATTTAAAATATAATAAAATAGATTTCCGGGGGCATTGCTGCAAATAAAACTCATCAATATCACATCAGAAATGTAATAAAAATTGAGAATTCTATGCCAGCAGCTCAGAAAGCACATATTGATAAAATTCTATTAAAAAACAAGTTTTGTAAATTATATAATTTTTGATGAATTACAATTATACATTTATATATAAATTTATAGTATGTTATACAAGATATTTACTGCAAAAGCAACCATCTCTTTTTCAGAAAATTCTTTCAAGGGGGTATTCTAGTGCAAAAATTCAAAAACCCAAAGTTTTTTTTATATTTTCAAAGCTCGACTATTCAAGAATATGTGTACGAAAGAATTTTTTTTAAACTTAAATTATTTTGGTAGATACATGACCATAATAATTCTTTTCTGTTTCCTTTCTTTTGCAAAACTTTAAATGTGCTTTGCTCAAAACTGCCATTTTCAATGGAATGTCAACGATTTCTCGAATTTTACTGGGTCAATTCATTTGAAATTTTCACAAGGTCTTCTTTATAGACTTCTCCCTGGCATAACTAGCCTCATCTCCAAATTTCAATTATTACTATATTAAAACAATTCTAGCAATTCAAAAAATGGTGAGAAAATGGTATTTTTTTCAAACAATAGCCATTTTGTCTTAATTTAAATTTAGGACTTGAATTTTTTTTAACTGAATCCTAGTATATGCCATTGCGACATCATTATAGATTAATAATCCTGTTTTTTTTTCATTTTAAATTACTAGGAGGGCTGCTATCGTGGACACGATCACATGCCAATTGCTTGTAACACTCCACTTCAAATGCTAATTTTTAAAATTAACATTTATTTACATTTTTTCTGTACTCTTGTAACATTGATAAATAAATTATAAAAAAATAATAATAAACATTTTTTTTTGCCTCTACACTAGAATGTCTCATTTTTTCGTATAATATAAAGACAGCCTTAGAATATAAATGAGGAAAATAAAATATTTTGGTATCTTTAAAATGTCTTCTGATAACAGCATATTTACAATCGTTAAAAATCCTTAAAGTCTTATGTATTTGTTCTTCCTACTTGAAATGCCTGATTAATTAACAAAACTAATAGTTAATTATTATTTTACAGAGCTGGGTAATATTCGCGCGTTCTGCATCGCTATGCCCCTTAATCAACCGCAATTCATCTACTGAATCAGGCAACTCGGAAACATCTTCTACTCATAATTACCACAATTGTTATGATACAATAAATTCCAGAGGTGGTTCATCCTCCAAGCAGAGAAGCTGTTCCATGTCAGATGATATCCCATTATTACTCAATGCTTCTAGTCCGTACAGTTCAGCATACCGAGCAGGAAATGCAGACAATGAATTGGCAACCACAGAATTGGCTTCTTGTTCTAGATCCATGACTGGTGCAGACGTCATATGCACCATAACAAATTAGAAAGTAATGTGATATTAACTTTGGTTTAGTGAGAATCTGCTAATGTGTTGTGATGATTTGATAAATATATCATCAATGTGTTGTTGGTGGAATGAAAATGAGCAATTAGCGTGTGATAAAAATGTGATCAGATCCAGGTGAACTTCTAAAGCTTGATGGATTATATACTACTTTTATTATATTCATTTAAATTTCAATATAATTAGTAGATTTATTCATTGTTAATTAAAATTTAAAGAATTTTCAACACATTATTATTTGTTAAATTGTTAAAATATATTAATATAATGAAATTAGTCAACAATTGTGAATCCAACAATAAGATAATTCTCTAGCTCGCATGAAATCATCAAATCCTGTTACGGCAAAATGTAATATCCAAAGTCATAATTTAATCATTCCAATTTTTCTACTTGTCCATATTTCATTTGTTTATATTCAAATTATTAAGCAAAGAAAAATATATTAGTTAGTATTCTTTTCATTATTCTTTGTCATACTAAAGTCAACTGAATTCAATTTTATTATTATTATGAATATCACGTTTAATTAATCAAAGATTGAAATTAAAACTATAGAGCCACATATAAAAACACAAACTATTGAAACTAAATAAAATTAAATAAGCGTAAAAATATTTTTGATTATTATAATATTCCTCCAGGTGATTCTAATCATACTCCTATACTGTTTGGATTATAAATATGTTTCTAATATATTTTAAATAAATGAATCAGACGTCACAAATTATAAAACATGTAGAGTTACAAATTATAAAACATGTAGAGTTTCATGGTCTCAGCATATTAATAACTATTTCACAAAGACACAATTCAATGAATTGTTGAATGCTCAATAATGTTTGGAAAAATAATTCTAAAAGTGTATTATAACCAGCATTTCAACCTTGTCGATAACCACAATAAATCAATGGATTATTAGAAAGTCTTATTTTCTGAAAAATAAAAACTTTTCTATATCATGTAATTAACAATAGTGCAAAACATGCACTGCATATATATATATATATATATATATATATATATATATATATATATATATATATATATATATATTCACATAATGATGTATGGTTGTGAAGAATGTGTGTACAAATGCATATAACTTTTAAGATGATCCGATATTACTTTGTTCGGATAGCAAATAGCATAATATTGAATATTTATGAACACTCAGTAATCTCTAGTAATTCACAATGTGATATCACTTAACTTAATAGAAGTTCTCTATAAGTTCTATAATAATCCAAAAGATAATTCGAAGGTCGAAAGAAGATTTGTGTAAACTTCTTTCATATAGAAATTTAGCACATGAATAATAATTTATAATATTTTCATTAACAATTATCAAATGAAAATATGAATTTGAAACTTTCAAAGTTTATAAATATATACATGTACATAGCACAAAATAGTAGATATAAATAATTTAATTCTATTTACATATTTTATCAGTGTTATAATTTCTTGTTGAAAAATTATTAAATAAAATTACACAAAAATATTATGTAAATGTAACTTAAAATAGATATACTCACACTTCAAAATATCCAGATTTACTTTTTTTAACACATTGGTTCATTTTCAGAATCCATAATATTCATTGGTGATAACCATTTAACTCAACTTTTATTATAATTTCCTCGATATGTGTATAACATTTCTACCTGAAAAGACACATTCTTTATTCAAGTATCACTAAAACATAATGTGATAATTCAAAATAACGTAACGTAATTAAACATTTTAGAGTTTTAAAACGTCACATAACTAAGTAATTGAATAAACAATTTATATTCATTCATTTTCTTCATATGAGAATAAAAAAGAAAGTACTAAGCACAATAATAAATATAAAATATCTACGATGTAAATAAAATGAAATAAGGAAATAGTAAAATCTGTGCTTTTTGATGATAACTATTTAACACAACCATTTAAATGCAATAATAGAAATAATGCATCTACAACAACAACAACAAATAATTCTTCAATATAGAAGAAGTAGTAGTAAACAGTAGGCCCATGAAAATATCAATTACAGAGGAAACGTGTAATTCTTGAAATATATTTATATGAATTTTCTGGATAATAGCAAAATACTGTTTATAGTAAAGTGTATGTGTGATATTTTTACCTATAACCAAAAGTGATTTTGGCAGCAAAGCAATATTTTGTTCAGCAAGAGCCTCAATGCAAATAAATCATAGTTTTAAACCAAATCATTACATAAATTATTAGAAATTGAATTAAAAATTCATAGGATTTGAAAATTGGGACTACTCAAGCAAATCTAATGTGGCATTGATACAGCGGACACAATCTACGTAGAATGGACAAAATCTACTTAGGATGGTGATAGGTGCACCCTGGTATGTGCGCAACAAAACTCTGCATTAGATAGGGTGTTATATATTAAAAACTTTATAAAAGCAAGCTCTACTAATAATCATCACAAATTAGAAAGTCACCCAAATTAACTGATTGCTCTGCTGCTCCATACATAATAAAGACGACTGAAAAAATTATGGCAAATTAACTAGATCCAGTACAACTCTATCTAGTAGAAAATACCTACTGAGGTAACTACTTTTGATAATTATATTTAATTAATGTCAATCAAAATAACTTATTGAATGTACCTAATGTTCTGATTGTCATTAATAAAAGAAATAATAAGAAAAAACAATATCATAAGATTTAAGTCATAGTTTTAAACCAAATTATTGGACATTTACATAAATTAATAGAAATCGAATCACAATACCATAAGATTAAGAAATTGGGGCTGCTCTAGCAAATCTAATGTGGCACTGTTTCAGCAAACAATAAAAAACTACTTAGCGGACAAATCAAAACTACTCAAGATGTAGGTGCACCCTGGTACGTGAGCAATAAAACTTTGCATGGTGATCTGAAGTAGGTTTATATTGAAGACTTTTTGAAAATAAGATAACCAACAACAACCAACAAAAACAATAACCATCATCACAAATTAAAAAGTCATCCTAGTTCACTGATTGCTCTGGTAAACCATACATAATAAAGACGACTGAAAAAATTATGGCCAATTAACTATAGATCCAGTGAAAAGCTAGTAAATACCTACTAGGGTAACTACCATCGATATATTTAATTATTGTCAATCAAAATAACTCATAGAATGTACCTAATGTTCTAATTGTTATTTATAAAAAAAATAATAAAAAAAACAATCTCATAAGAATTACTTTCAATTTCTATTAATCGCTATGATTGTAAAACAAACTCGACGCCATTACAGTTGGTTACAATAATAAATGTTTTGAGACATTTCAAAAGAAAATAATTTTTCTATAACTGACAAAAGTGTATAGGAATATTAAAATTAATATAAATGTGATATTGGCCTTTGTAACTAAAGATAATTCTCATATTTATGTACAAAGTAAATACTTTAAAGATGAGATATAAGGCATGCCTGCGCTTTGCAACCATTTTACAACAATTACTATTACACACATTAATAGGAACTTCAACAATGCAGAATATATTGACTGACTATATTGCTATATCTTTCAAATTCGTAAGAAAGGCAATAAAAAATAATGACTATACTTACGGATTATTTTGTGCACAGATATAACAATTTTGAACATTTTCTACACTAAACTAATGAAATCTTTATAATTTATGACGCAACAATAAATTCATTTCATAACGAAATCGTCAACTGTTACTACGCAAATGTCAGACAAAAAGTACGCTGTGAAGTTGACAATGACAGAAGCAGTGTCATTGTCATTGAACAGATGGCGACACTGGTAAATGTCAAAATGACAGTTGTCTGCGTGACATTCCTAACAAGTTTTTTTAATACTCGGCTTTCTCCATTAATTTGTGATGTATCTAGTTTAAATGTTTTATATCAAATATAGTGTTTTATAAAACTGCTACAGTTCTGCTAAAACTTTATTACGAAGCCGAAATGCTCAGTGTCAATGAGCAAGATGATAAAAAGGTTAGTGCATTGTTACAAATTTATAGGTTATGTTTTGTTTATTGTTAGAATCTTGTTGGATTGCTATTTATTTTTTTATTATTACAAATTATGCTAAATTCTATATGATACGTTTGTATTTAAAATTCACTGGTTGTTTCTAAACCACTTCTATCTATTCATTTTTATTATATGAATTATTTTTGTGACGTCGGCAAAAAGTATACCAATCCGTTTTTTTTTTGTTTTCAACGTTTTGAATTGTGCTTTGTAGATTCATATTATGATTTTTTTATTATTTATTAGATAATATTAATATAACAAATTTTTAATGCATTTATAAAAACTTTATAGATGTCTTCTATTTGCTTTAATCGATTTATATTATTCTATTAATTAATTACAACATAATTATTGGAACAAGTATTGAATTATTAAGATTTCTATTCTATTCATAAGTCGTACATGGAATCTTAGGCAATTATTTACAGATTATTGACAATGATGTTTGTATTGACATTGGTTTGATTAGGAATGTATATTCATTAATACATTTATACATAACGATTCAAATAAACCTGCAAGGCCACATTTTTAGAGGTCGTTTGTGCATTCATCCGAGATAACTGTATTTGTCTTATATTACTTATTCTTTTGATATTATATAACACATATTCTTTTCATAAAAATATAAATTTTACTGAGGTAATAGTTTATATATTATTGACTTGTTCTTTTAGACTCTACAATTATTAAAACGAGACTGAAATTAAATTTTAATATATACTGAAGAAATGAGTGTACATGTACTTGCAAGTGGTCACAATTCATTACATAAATTTACTAACTAGAAAAAAAAACTTAATATAACATTTGGTCTACATATGCTTATTATCTTTTGGGCTGAAAAATAATTGCTATATTTGAAAAAAATACATATATTTGTTTTTATTCTAACTTTACAAGACTATAGCAAAAGAATAAAAACTTAAATTTTCAAA